TTGGGTGAGAATGGGCCGTTGTAAAGCTGAGGGAACAACTACACGTTCAGCGGAAAGCAAACACGAGTCAACGATTGATAAGCTGTTTTGGCACCGGTGATAGGGGATGAGTTCTGCATCTGATACCCTCGATGGCCAACCTTCTTTCACGTGCTTCATCACCTTACGTAGTACGGCATCCTGCGATGTGTGCTGCTGGATGGATTTTAGCGAGACTGGTAGGGATTTCGCGGTGTCGAGGATTACCCGATTGATCTCCTGATCCACTTTAACACTAGCAATCACTGTCTCGTTGTTGTCTGCTGGATGATCCGCAATTAACCGAGACAACACATCGGCTTGCCCAAAATCTGTGGTCGATTGGTAATGGATGCTAAAATCGTAGGCCAGTAAGGATAGAGCCCATCTCTGTAGACGGCTGGCTGTAGTTGCCGGGATGCCTTTATGTGAACCAAATATGGTCAGCAACGGTTTGTGATCCGTCAGTAACTTGAAACCTCTACCATATAGCATTTTGTGAAATTTATTGACAGCGAATACGATAGCCAGGTCTTCCTTTTCAACCTGGGAATAATTTTTCTCTGCTGATGTTAACGACCGTGCCACGTGGATAACTGCTTTCTCAGAACCGTCTGGGAAAGTGTGGGACAACACAGCTCCGATGCCATAGTTGCTTGCATCGGCAGCTACCACGATTGGAAGGTTGGGATCGTAATGCGGGAGAAGGAGCTCGGAAGTCAGCATATCTTTAATCCGATCTACCGCTGCTTGACCCTCTGCTGACCACTCTGCTGACCTATAGGTTCCATGCAGTTAGTGTGGAACAGTGGAACAATGGTTTATTACGGGTAAAAAGGCATCGCTTTACAAGTCCCGTTGGATGGATAGTATTGCGAAAATCAATTGCATAATAAATTGAAAAGCGTTGTGGTGGGCTCACCATAGACTTATGTGGAATAGCGGAGATGTTCGCGTATTAAAAGTATAAATCCGGCAATCCATTGGTTAGGCGTTTGGCAAGGCACCGTTTGATTGCGTTTTGTAGACCCTGGCTAACAAGTCATAAATTGAAATGGAAGTAAGACAATGCATCGTCAACACGTTTTTTAAATATCGCCAGATTAGGAGCTGAGACAACATAATTAGGGAGGGCGTTCCAAGGCTGGCACATGCAGAGAGGAAAGAAATTTCTACGGCATTCAAGCCGGCTATAATGAATTGTCAGTTTCAGAGGGTGACCTCTTAGTTTAGTGTTGTGGTTCAATTCCAGCAGCGGACGGCAAATGTGGTTTGCGTTCTTCAGAATCTGGTAAACCATTATGAGATACCCCCGCAAAAGCCCATGTCGACTGCCGTACATTCCTAGAGATTTCAGTCTAAGCTGATAGGGCAGATGAAAGAGGCCCCTGACGTTCTTGGTTGCCCGTCGTTGAGGAGTCTCGAGAGCAACGAGATCCTGTTTCTGCCACGCCTGAATAGCATATTCCACGTGAGGTCGCACGTAGGCGTTAAGCATTTGGGGAAAGATTGAGGGTTCAAACCGACCGAAGGCTCTGCGAAGAAGGCCGAAGTGTTGATTTCCGGTCCTCGTCGCCTTCTCTGCTTGTTTTGAACACCCGAGATCTTCCTGTACCAATACACCCAGGTCACGCTCCTGAGAGACCTTCTCCAAGGTGTGGTCTCGAAGCTTGTAAGCGCTCACCGACTGGTGACGCAGATGTATCACCTTGCACTTAGCTATGTTCAATTGCAGCATGTTCCTCTATGGCCATTCGTAAATGCAATCTAGGTCATGTTGGAGCAGATCCTGATTTGGCTTGTTACTAATCGCCCGCCATATCTTGGCGTCATCGGCGAAAAGCAGGAAATCTGAGGAGATGACTCTTGTCAGGTCGTTGATAAACACCAGGAATAAACGCGGTCCCAGCACTGAGTCTGGTGGGACACCACATTCCACCTCAATTGGGTTAGAAAGTGATCCCCTAACACGTACTTGTAGCTTTCGTTGGTAAAGGAAATTGCCAATCCAACCAACTACAAGATCTCCGGACTACGGTCCAGCCACCGCCTTGTGTGTACTTGATTCCCCAAATACAGCGTGCTTGTGTTTGCCTGTGAAGGAGTGTGGGCCGGCTCCGTTGATGAAACGTGGCTCCCATCCGCATGCCTCCCGGTCTTATTCCTTCGGCTTTACACTGGATATGGGGTGTGTGGATGGAGCTGTGGGTGGTGCAACGCAAGCCACCCATGGTTCTTCTGTAGGCGCAGGCATCCTGAGGCTGGCCACAGTGACAGGCAAATCCGAAACCGGATGCCGCCAATCATTATATATATATATATATATATATATATATATATATCAAGTGAGTGACGACAAGACGTAGACAAACATTGTGCTCAACAACCATCACGAATGTACTTTGTGTTAATGCGGATATTGTGGTGAGCCCACAGACGCGTTTTCACTTTTGCGTAACTTTATTGTACTAACGTTGTTCCCTCTGACCATCCCAAGGGGGCTTGTCACGATTTTTCCGTTTTATACGAAGGTTCCATTGTTACTTCATGCGTAACTTACCTCAAGATATGTTACCCGAATTGTGTCGGTCAAAGCTGAACTTGTGCAAAACAACAAAGATTTTTCAGTACCAATACTAGCAAGGGTTATTGTCTTTCAGTTATAACCGATGATTTTATGTAAGCTGGCGTAGGTTGCGAACAAATATACATCTTGCAAGTAGGTTGCACTAAAGGGAAAAGACGTTAGTTACTATAAATAAGGTGCTAGCAATGTACTGATGCAGCACGGGGTAGAGTCAGTCGAGGATGGAACTTTGTCTAGAACATTGGTTCTCAACCTGGGGTTAATTACCCACAAGGGGGTAAAACAGAATTTTACGGGGATTGAGTCATCAATATGGTACCAAACTGGATGTACTGCTAGTCATCAATCCGAAACTGTGGGTTCGCTGTGTGGAGGACACTTTTGTGATAATCAGGCGCAACCAAATAACAGTCGCACAACAGCTATTGAATAACGCCATAGAAGGTATGCAATTTACAATGGAACCGGAGAAGGAAAACCATCTCTTTTTCTTGGACGTATTAGTAACAAGGACCATAGAAGACAAGTTACAAGCATCGGTTTACAGAAAAGGCACACACAGACCAACTTCTGAACTTTAACAGAAATCACTCGAAATGCCACGAGGTAACTTGTATGCGAACACTATTTCGTAGAATGAAAACACACTGCAGCATCACAGAAACAAAGCAAAAGGAAGAACAGCACCTAGTTAACACTTTTCCAACTCAACGGATACCCTCTAAGCTTCATCCAAAGATTTCGGAATCACAACAACGCAAACACATAGCCTACAACAACAACAACAACCAACACCAACAACAACAACAACAACAACAGAAGCGGCAGCAGCAATCACAACAACAATATCAGCAGCAACGACGACGACGACAACAACAACCACAACAACAACAACAACAATCACAAGAACGGAGAGGAGTTTTTATGCCTTATATGAAGAACGTATCGGAACTGGCAGCCAGATTGTTCAAAGAGCATCATCTGATCGTAGCACACAAGTCAACTGCCACGTTGAGAAAGAGCTGTCAAAATCAAAAAAACTGCAGGCGCACGCACAACGCAATGTGATATTCAAACTACGTTGCCGAGATTGCGAAAGAGACTATGTTGGCCAGATAGAGAAAACTGGCAACAAGGATACAAAAACATAAAATGGCCTGTGTAAAGCATTATGCATCGTCGCTAATTTCATTACATGTGGGTGAACAAGGACATGGCTACGATTGGACCAAAGCAGAAGTCCTGGCAGGAAGTGAAACAAGAAAATAAAGGGGATTCCTGAAAGCTTGGTTCTCAGCGAAAAACTCGATCAACGTGCGCGTCGACCTCGATACAATATACAAACCACTTCGACAGAAATAAATGAGGAAGATGTTGTTACGCGGTTTGAAGAAGAACAACTCGGGCGCCGACTTCGGTCGTGGGGAAAGTGGGTAGTGGTCACGGGATGCAAAGCGAAACTGCTACTTTCAAAAGTCACCTTCAGGTCGATTACGGATCGACAACTCATTCAATAAGATTTCACGCTGTATCTCACTGCACTAGGGATGCCACCGTGCATGGTGTTGAAAGGTTTGCAACCAAGCCGCCAAGCTCGGTGAACAATTGAACAAAATCATCTGTATCAAATTATGCAACCAACAATCCAAGCACTATTGATTAGCCATCTGTGACTAAACACTAGTAAGCGGTCAGTGAATTAAACAGTATTCAATAGTTATCTTTATCACCTGAAATACGAGTACAACTCAGCAAAGCAGGGTAACTAAATGGGACCTTCCTCGGCTTGCCCGTCGATTGTTGTTCTTTTGAGGCAGGCAGTCATTCGCCGAGTCGAGTTACAGAGCTGTGTGAACACTAAGATAGGAGCATAGGTTAACTGAACAGGTAAAGCAGCCAAGACGGAAGGAACAACACGAGGGGTTAGTGTTACGGACGTATCGATGCAGGTTGGTGGAGGTAAGCTGTCATCCTGGAAAGACTTGGAAGGGATGATTTAAACAAGTCAAGAAAGTCGGGAAGTTGTTTTATGCAGTCAGATCGGGTGACGCTTCAGTCACCGACATCTGTTCATGTTTGGTCACGGATCACACACCAAAGCAAAAGGCTGAATGAACTTTGAGCAGGACTTACCATGTGTATTAGCCGAAACCGTAACAAATATAACAGAAGTTGTAAGAACTAAGCAATATCAATCTTCTCATTAACGTACATTACCATTTGCTCATTTAAAATTGCTCGAAAATAGGTGCATTCTTTATTTGAACGAGTGAAAGTAAGTAAAAATAGTATCCATTTACCGTGTTAAATTAAAAGGCGCAACAATTAAGAAACAATGCTCTTAAAACGAAAAACTTTTAAGTGATAATTGTCCATAGTGAAACCACTTTGTGAGTTAGGCGCATAAAAATTGTGAAGCACTGGTCTAGAGGCTGCTATTTCGACCCGAAAGCGTCACAAAACTTACCTTGTTATGTGTGACAGTATTATGACAATGCTTTGCTCTATAATTGGCAACACGATGATGGTACAGAGCACTCACTGTTTTGTTCCTAGTGTCTCGTCCCAAACAGCGTCTTCCACTGAAACACCCTACTATAAGCGAACTGGTTGAAGCAACTCACGTTGGACTGACAACTCCAATTCGTTGATTTGCTGAAAATATTTGTCATCTGTAGGGACCGAATGAACACTTGTGTCCCTTAGTTTAGCTAACTAAAGCATTCATTCTGTTCCGAAACACTTACTTGATTCCACTTTCTCCGCAGAGCATTAATCCTACACTCAGACTTCAAAAGGCGATGTTCAATCCAGTTCATCTTCATTCGAATTGCTTCAGTTGGTAGAGTAGATGAGGTGGTCGCTAAAGTACTAACAAGATGAAATGTGAAACGTTCAAACACCCACTCTGAAACCTCAGGAGCTATAAGCAGGTTATATTGCGTCATAAGTCTTAGGCGTGTCTGACGACTGCAAAATGGGGATGACTTTAAAGTACGTAACGCTAACCATGCGTGCAGCTTGCTGCACAGATTGCTGATGGTATCATAAAAGTTCGATTGGTCCATAGTCACAATGCAAGAAACATTGCCTAAAAGAAAGTAGTTCTATTACTGTGGGTGGCACTAGGCAAAAAGACACACAAAACAGGATGGAATGTGGATTAACTTTTATTTCGCACACTTGGTATCACAAAGGTGTTTGCTTGGTTAACAGTGAATGCCAACTGAACATTTGAAGCTTTGTGATATATATATATATATATATATATATATATATATATATATATATATATATATATAGCATGTTTGTGAGGTTGCAGTAGGGGCATAAGCATTATACAACAGATATTAGAGAAGGGGCACAAAAGTCGTAGGACTAATAAATACTAGTCCGAGACGGTGCGCTTGATCGAGCGCGGATATCAGAAGGCAACTGAAGTAGGACACAGAGGAGATATATTCGCTGGGCTACCACAGGCATGGACGGATAAAGCAAGACAAGAGCAAACGTCAGTTTCGGACTCACCAAACGTAATTGGGACAAACCAGATGTAGGCCAAGATGGCCTTAGTGTAAGGGAGGTTAAAACAATAGATAGTGTTGTACAATTGGCCAGAAACGAAGTTGTACATAAAAGATAGTAGGTATGTCTTTGGGCGCTACAGTGATCATCTGTATGAAACCAACGGATAAGCTAAAGTAAACACAAAGCGGACTGCTGCCCCATTGTGCTCTATCTATCCACCTATCGTAGCACCTTTGTGGCTAAATGTGAACACATACTTCAGCTTGTTGTCCTCAAGCCGTCCATGAGAGTTGTCCTTCCACATGGTTTTGACGAAACTTGTGAGAAACTGACGGCCTCGTGGCAAATATCGTGTTTTGAACACCGTTCCCGTGTCCAAGCGCCATCCGTTCTTACACATCGTTAGCTGACAGCTAGCTTGGCAGTTTACATAGCATATAGTAGCATCGACTTGGTTTTCACATACAAGCAAATGCTGTTAACGGAGGCAAAAAGCGCCAAAATTATTTTGACGATACTGTTTGATTTGTTTTCCTAGCGCATGACATTTGCTGCTTAGAATGCTGCACATACTTTGCACTGCTTTGTCGACTATGCTTGCGGTGGTCTATTACGCATACTTTGACGAAATGTTAAACAACACCCTCTCACATGAAATCATCCTGATCACGCTTGGACACTTTTTGCGCGTTTACCCTAACATAAGTCAATGATCAGCGCGGAAACGTATTCGTTTAGCGTTGGTTTGGTGAAATTGTTTGACCAACGCATCTACTCTACAAATGTGGCGCCAATGCAGAATATGGTTACAGACATCATCCACAGAATGAACCTCATTGGTTTAAAGAGCCAAGACGTTTTGACGCGTCATACCTAACTGCACATCACTCATAAAGTCCATCACGGACCTCCTGCGGCAGTAGCTAAAATTAGGGGCCGTTGCCAAAATAATATCTAAAGCACACCTCGACCCGGCAGCCTCACTGTCGCTCAATACCAATGATTCCGACGTGGCAATTGTTGCTGTCCTACGGTAACAGGTACGTACCGCTTGGCAACCGCTTAAGTTTTCTTCTAAACACCTTCAACCAACCGAATCTTCCCACAGCACGTTCGGTATGGAGATATTAGTCATCCACCTGGCGATCCGTCATTTTCAACATCTCTTAGAAGGCCGTTGCTTTGCCGTCTTTCCCAACCACAAACCAATGACTTATGCGCTTCACTTAACAGCCAACCGATACTCTCCTAGAGAGTTGCACCATCTATAGTATATCGCTCAGTTTATGACCGATATATGACGTCTCATTTATGCACAACGCGACCGCCGACGCACTTACCCGAATTCAAGCGATCTCCGCTGAATTCGGCACTGCTATCGACCTGGCAGCCATGGGCGCCGCACAATTCAATGCTCCTGAAGTACATTTATCACATAGATCTCCCTCAAAGTGCATACGATCCGTTTCGCTGACATAATCAGACTGAACTTTTCTTTGTGATGTTTCCATGGGTATACTGCGCTCAGTCGTACCACGCGAGTTCCGATGGACCGTGTTCGGCACGTTGCATAGTTTATCTCACCCGGGCGTTCGTGCCTCGGTAGAACTCGTAACCGCACAATTCGTCTGGCGCAATGTTAATCGTAACGTTTGTATTGGGCAGCAGCTTGCCTTCCGTGTCACCACACGAAGGTGTAGATGCACACAAAACGCCCATTAGGCACCTTTCCAACACTATACGCATATTTTCACTACGTGCAACATTGACTTCGTAGGTCCTCTACCACTTTTACAAGGTTCGCTATACTTACTATCTTGCATCTAACGATTTCCCAGGTGACCAGAAGCTATTCGCATACCAAAATGCTCTTCGGGAACAGTAGCAAAGTTATTAATAGGGTGCTGGGTAGCTCAGTACCTTAATCCGCCGTCATGACCACCGATCTAGGGTCGCACTTTTCGTCCACGTTTGCTTAAGAATTTAGAATGTATCCACCTCCAAACGACGGCGTATCATCCGGCCGCTAACGGTATGGTGGAGCATTTTTAACGCCAGTGGAAGGCAGCACTACCTGTGCACGCAGATCCTTCATGGTCCGAAACCTTTTCTCTCGTCCTCCTGGGCTTAAGCAACAGGTTAAAAATGATTGCAAAGCAACGTTAGCGCAGTTGATCTCTGGATGCACGCTAAGTATGCCCGGATAGCTCGTAGAAGCAACACCGTCCACTACATTTCCCCATTACGGAAGTTGTACTGAAGCATGAGTTCCACCTGCACGATTCACGGTTGCACAATACACCGGCATGCGTGCCCGGAAAACTGTCAACTTGTTCACACGTATTGCTTCGCGTAGACGGGGTTCGACAGCCTCTACAGTCGCCATACATCGAACCCTTCAAAGTAAGCAACCGAAAAGGTAAGTCGTTTACGATCGTCCGTGGTGGCTGACGCGAAATCGTTACCATCGACCGCCTAAATCCAACTTTAAAGAGAAAATCACTTCGTCTCTATCGTCTAGCGATGCTTCATGCGACGTTACAACTAACCGCACCAATTTGTAGCATCCTAGCATCGTCGCAACAGACTTCTATCTTGGTCTACAGGCATCAGTTATCCTGACACCATCATCCACCCTTAATCTGCCGCCTGTCAAGACCAAATGCTATGGTCGAGAGTTTTGTGAACCCGTTCGTCTTCCCGTCATTTACCGTGTAAACGCGTTCAGGTTTGGAAATCATGTATCAGTTGCCCTGATTTTGGTCGAATAATCGTTTAAAAGCTAAGAAAGCCAAAGCTCCCGAAAATTTTACAAATATAAAACCCAAATATATGAATAACATTGTGCGCAACCATTTGTTCCTCCTAACCGAAGAAGTCCTCGTGGTTCCCGCCGCAGTACCTCAGGCTCACGTCAGCGGTCATACTTCTACTTCCACCGTCGCTGCGGCAAAGCAACACGTAACTGTCGCCCGAAATGCAATTGTCTGAAAGGAACTCCCATTTCGCAACCGGGAAACACCAAAGCCAACCAGTAATGGCGACGGCTGTCACTGGCCGAATCCTCAGTCGCCTTCTGTACGTGTTCGATTCTAGGACCAAACTGCATTTTTTGGTCGCTACGGGTGCAGTAAACAGCGTTATACCATGATGTTTGGAAAAACGCGCTCCGCAACAAGCCACACTTACGTTACATGCGGCTAACATGACTAAGATCGCGACAGACGGCCTGAAACTGTTGCAACTAAGTCTTGGTTTACGACGCGAATTTCCTTTTTATCTTTACCATCGCAGACGTCCAAAAACCCATAATTTGCATCGACTTCCTTAGCAAATTCGGCCTCGTCGTCGATCTACATTGCAGGAAGTTACGAGACGACAGCACTTCGCTCACTGATCCTTGCCATCTCGCCCCAGTCACTTCCGTCGGACTTCGCGTACTCATACCACACCCTTGTTGGGCGGAGCCTGGGATACTAGTCGGGAAGGAATAACACGTAAGAGAAGTGTCAAATAAGGGACAGTATAGAAGTCGGAGGCGACTGAACACAACTTATATTGTGCAGGCTACAAAAATAGAAAGCGAATCAGCCAGATCGAGAAAGATGCAGCAAAGTACGCACCAAAATGGTTTGTGTCCACGGATGTGCAGTCAGTAAAACAAATGGACGTTTTGAAGGTTAAAACAACCGTAAAATCCAATGTTGTAAAGTAATGAAAGAGCGTGCTTTCCGGTACACTACAAGAGCCTCCCCCTAGAAGGCGGAAGGATGGAAGCGGTCGATGGAGCTGTTAGTGGGGAAAGCGGAAGGTGAGGATGGGTGCGAATAGTTACATGGGCTTGAGTAAGGGCATCCGAATTGGGGTGTGTATCAGAGTTCGCTGGGTCCAGGCTTTTGTTAGTTATTATTCACGATGATCGTGTGGACCACAGTGCATCATTGGGGAGCCGTCGGAGCGGGCTGGTCGGACTGCAAAAAAAACTGGCTAGTCCGGAAAAAAGGCCGACAGGACTTGCCCTTTGCTGCAAACCTGACGGTGCGCTTGCAAGGTGTCACTTCCGCCACCGCACTTTAGTCCACGGTCCTCATCCCACAAAGAAATCCGGCGTCCTCGTCGGTAACGCCTAGGCGGCGTTTGGGGACCAATCCGTTCGTGGCTGTCTGCGGTCGAGGGCGACTGTCTGTTCCTTGGGTGAGGAAGGGGGCCTTGGGTCGGCTGGCAAGTCACTCGGGGGTTGCGTTGAGCCGGTTGGCGAGTCACTCGAAGGTTGCGTGTTCGTGTAACGTCAGGGTCACCAACTGTTGGGCGGAGCCTGGGATACTAGTCGGTAGGCAATGACAAGTAAGACGTGTCGAATACGATAGTGTAGAAGTCGGAGGCGACTGAACACAACTTATATTGTGCAGACTACAAAAGTAGAAAGCAAATCAGCCAGATCGTGAAAGGTGCATCAAGGTACTCACCAAAACGGTTTTTGTCAACGGATGTGCAGTCAGTAAAACAAATGGACGTTTTGAAGGTTAAAACAACCGTAAAA